AGATGAGACGAGCAAACCTGTGGCTTCTGCCAGTGGGAAAAGGAGAGGAAGGGCGAAGGCGAAAGCTGCTGCAAAAAGAAAGCCAGCTAAGAAAGAACAGCCAAAGAAAGAAAAGAAGCCAAAGAAAGAAGAGAGGCAAAAGAAAGAAGAGAAGCAAAAGAAAGAGAAGCCACAGAAAGAAGAGAAGCCAAAGAAAGAAAGGAAGCCAAAAATGGCACCAGAGGTTGCAAAAGCGCTGGCTTCGAAGAGGGATTGCGCGTATCATAAAGCAAGAAAGGAGGCTCTAAAGCAAGGACTTACTGATGAGGAAGCCAAACAGAAAGGGAAGGAGGCCACTTGTTCAAGTCATTTCTCAAGGGGTCATGTTGATTTCTTTTGGACTGAGGCTCGCAAAGCTGTGGTGCTGTAACTGAAGGCTTGTTCGGGCCTTGTGCTGTCAATGCTTGAGCTGCAGAGTTTTTGTCTGCAAACCTAGGTTTGAACCTGGCGCTTAGGGCTTGAAGGGGTTGTTGCATTTTCACGTGCAACGCTGGGGGTTCAGGCATGTGACAAAAACATGCCACGTAGATCTAACCAGGGTGCAAGGGACAACCTTTGCATTGAGCCATGTGAGCTGGTGAAAAAAGTAGCTGCAGTGTTTCCACCCAAATATGTCCACTGTGCAGTACATCTTCTACCTGGTGTTCCAGGTATCTGAAAGTGGCCAGTGGCAGCGTTGTGATATGCGATCGTGCCCGCTCGTGTCTTGCTTCTTTCAATTGCTAGGAGTTAGTCTACAAGTGCAAGTCTGTCTTCACACCTGCTCTTTTGGATCATCTGCAGCCATTTTTCATGATAGGTGTCCAGAGAGATGGAAAAAATGAGCCATATAGTCCGGAGGCAGAGCAGGGGCCGCAGGAAGAGGCAGGACTGGCATGAACGACATTGCACTCATGTCTGGATTGAAGTGTGTGCTGGCATATGCAAGGTATGGGGGCAGTTGCAATACCCAGCTGATGGAAGACCGGTTTTTGACGTTCCAGCAGTCTGGGCCTTTAAACTCGAGTGAAACTAAACAATGCAAGCATGGTGCCTCTTGGCCTAGGAGTCAGGTGGTGCATGGCAAGTCCTGTTCAAGGCTCTTGGGGTGCCTTGCTGAAGATGTACTCTTTGTTAGCATATGTGTGTGTGTGCATGTGGACTATATACATGCTAAGGTGCCAGAGGAGACTATTTCCATCATAGAAGAGGTCACTAGCTCTGTTGTTTGCAGTTTGGCTCCTTTGTTTCTTTATACTTTACATGTCTGTTTGGGTGCTCAGGATGAACAACTAGAGAACGCTATGTCGGAGCTGGTGGCATTGATTCCAGCCCAGGTAATGGACATGCATGCATGTCATGCCATGCACTCCATGACATTCCATGGCCCCCATGAAGTTCAAACATGTCATGCCTGCGCACTTCATGCCATGCAATGCCATGCCATCCACTCCATGCATGTTGCATTGCAATCCATGCTGACCATACATGCATGCATGCATGCATGCATGCCTGGAGGACCGGGCTTCATCTTCCAGGAGGACATTCGCAGTTCCTAGTAAATGTAGGCCCTGGTTCCAACCAAAGTCATGAATGCATACCATACATGTCAAGCTTGGGGTCTGTGCGCATAGAAACTATGGTTGCATTGTGGACAGGCCGGATTCTTCAGCTCCAGCTAGCAAGCCCTGCAGCTCTGATGCCAGCAGTGCCACACCTACCAAAGTGGAGCCACTATGGAAGCCAACACCGAAAAGCAAAGTGCTGTTGAAAAGAAAACCGCCTGAACCACCACCGGCAAGCTCCTACAAGAAGCCAACCTGGAAGCACAACCCACCACCTCCTCCAGCTAGCCGCAGCTTTTGGATCCCCAATCCGCCACCACCTCCGATTCATCTTCAAGGTTCGGCTTGATGTGGCAGCCCATATGATTTTGCTTCTTGGATGTACAGGTGCTGGGAACCCTTTGTGGCACCAGTGACAGCCATGACTGGGCTGCTCATGTTGGAGCCTAAGCGGTGATGGCTTTGCAAGGTTCAAGCTATGCGTTCCTTTTGTTTTCCATGGATGCCTGGATGTCCAGGCCAAAACCTGCTGACTCTGTGTGATGGAAAAGAATGCTCTTTTGTGTTGCTGATACCCAGTTCACCCATGTAGTGTAAGTACATGCAAAGCTCTGCGCCCAAACCTCCTGGTTGCTGGGTTTGCCAGGTACAATCCTATTGGCCAGTGGCTGTATGTGGGCTGTTCTGGCTGAGCAAGAAGGACTGTCTATGACTGGACTGAGTGCTGCAAGTGCGTGAACATGCATGAATTTCACAGAAATATGTCCATCCATTCCATGTGCCGCTCAAGCGTTTGGCCATGGGTGTGTGACTTGAGCCATGTTTTGTGAACGGGGATCCATTCTCCATGCTTTACTCCATTGTGGAGCTCCCAAGGAGGGGGTTTGATTTGCTTGAATGAGCATGCCCATGCATGTGTGCATTCATGGACCAAGTCTTGACTCATATTCTAGAAGGTCTTGGTGGCAGTGGTGCTGTTCTCAGGTGAAGGAGCATTTTTGCAGGTGTCACTCCAGTGGGGACTTGTCATTGGAGCTGCGGCTGAGGTCCTCATGATGACTTGGAACGACAGGTTCGACTTCGACCAGCCACAGTTCCACTTCTTTGAGGTGTTTGCTGGATGTGGAGCGGCCTCTCGTGAATGGTGCCAGACTTATTTCCCTTACCTCCCTAACTTCTGGCCCTCAAAACTCCTGAGGAAACGACGAGGCTTCAATGTGGCCCAGTTTGAGAGGGACCATGCAAATGACAGGGGCATGGATTTCCTGGAGACACCAGGGTTTCTGTCTGGGACTTATTGAACATAGTGAGCCACTGTGCATTTTCATGTGGTTGGCCTGTCAGGGTGGCACTATTTGGGTGCCTGATGATGGCCCCGCAGGGAATCACTTTGTTTGCCCCCTGCTGCAAGACATGGGGGATACCATCCCGGGGATCAACAATGAGAAGTTGGCTGAATCCACTTGGATTGCCCTTGCCATGTGTGGCCCGTGGAAACATGACTGTATGCAGGCTTGTTTGCGGTTCATGAGCTCATATAGTGGGTGTGATGTTTTTTTGTGACTGTTCGGAGGCTGGTGCTGTGCTGCATCTGCCTTCTGTCGCAACATGCTCTATTTGTCATCGAGCAGCCTCGTCAATCCTTGCTTTTCGAGCACTATAGATGGCAGCATTTTCAGAATTGTGTGTGCCGTGTATCTCAGTCAATATTGGAGGCAGGTAAGACGCAAGAGGCTATATAGCAACATGATATGTTTCTCTAGCAATGTATAGGTATGGATGTCATCCTGGTGGATGATGCTTTATGGATGCCCCAGTCCGAAGCGGCTAATGGCTAGAGCCAACTGGAATGGGATCAGTGGACGGGACATTGGCAAACTGTCTCTGAAGCAAAGGAGGGAGAGCACAACGATTGTGACGACCAGACTGGACCTTATTTATGTGGAGAATGCATGTGTGGGAAATGAGCCTTTGCCTTTTTGGGGTCTGGTGACCAAGGACGTTCAGGGAAGAAATGGTCTGGGACAAAGGACTTGGTACAAACACAGCCATGATCTTAGATAGTTTTTGTGAAATGATACCTGGCCTTTTCTTTATTTTGAGGTGCTATCCTCCTGCCTTTGGCAAACAACTTTTGAAGCTTTGGCTTGAACGAGATGATGAGCCACACGCTTGCTTGAGGCCATGGTCTTTGTAGATCAATGTGCATGACCTTTGGGAGTTCTATGGAACTGCTAGTGCGCAGGACCAAAGGGAAGCTTCCAAAATCTGCTAGTGATCGTGAGCTATTTGATCAGCTGATCATGAAGAATCCCTGGTATGATGCCTCCATGATCGAGGTATTCATTTTCCTCTATGAGGATCCCAGAACACAGATTCCAAACACATGGGTGGAAAGCATGGCCAGCTTCCGCAAAGAACTTTTGGAGACTGTGCCCGACCCTAGATTGGTGGCAGAGTATAGTGAGCTAGTTCAGAGAGCCTATTAGCAGGCCTGATTCGGTGATGATTCGGGCATACTAGCAAGGCATAATTCGATGATCATTCGGTACTTCTGAGTGCCGAATCGGTACTTTGGGGACCAGGCCTTTGCGCAAAACGAGCGCAAAAAAGTGCTAAACGGGCGCAAAAATGCGCAAACGGGCGCAAAAAAAAATGTGTACCACTTTGATCCTATACTACTATACATCCAAGGTCCACCATTTCGTCCGAATAGATATGTTTTCAACTCATCGAATTCGATGATTTTTGCGCCCGATATCATGTATCGCATGCTATAGGGTTGGATGTCATGCATGAAAGCTTTGCTCAAGGCACTTTGGTGTACATAGGCTATGAAACGCGCTGACAGCCTAGACCACGGTCTGTCCTTGCTCCGCCTTGGCACCAGTGAGAGCATGGGGACACAACTAGATGAGGAAATCCAGGTTGGCCAGTTGCACTGTTCTTTTGCTTGATCCTTTAGCTGTCCTGTGACTGGTGAGGCCAGACTTCAAAGGATCAATGCGCTTCAGGCGCAAATTACAACTCAGGTCGGTCGGACCGTCCGAGTCAGGCACGCAAAAAGCGAAATGGGCCCGACGGGGTGCGATCCATGGAGGTTTGGGGTGCGAACATCCACTCACTGGATGGGACTAAACACCACCCCGTCTTGTGACTCCTGGTTGATGGATCTATCCCATGCTTCCAATTCTTCTCTTCAAGAACCACGATTTTTCGTCAAAAGGACCGGCAGGTAGACACCGACACATGTGGAACTGGCTTAAGGCCTGGCCCAGGCCCATGCTCAGTTGGTATACCTCTGCAAGTGAAGCACCAAACAACTCCTAAAACGAGACCTCTGGCAAGAGCGGCGGCCGCTGAAAACACCCTTTTGCTGCATCGTCACTCGGCTGTGCGAGCGTCGGGTGAACATATTTATGTTTGGTGCCCCCGGTGGGCCTCATACTTATCGAAGACCAAGCAGGCATTGGTGCCACCAAAGCCGAAGGAGTTGGAGGCCACTCCTTAAAGGCAGGCATATGGCTATACGTAGTACAAATAGAAAAAGCGCTGACTATTTTTGGGAACCAAGCGAGCGCTTTGCATCTGCAACATGTCGATGGTCCCTACATCTCTCTTCCCTATCTTAGTCTTACCTAAGCAGGAACTCGAACTAGTGGTACGTATAGGCTATAGGTGGCTGTAGGCTATAGGAGAAAAATAGCTGTTGAACCTCTCTATACAGTAGGTACAGGTACATCATGCCTCACCCTCGCAGATCTCACCTCCTCACCTCACCCCAGCTCCGCCCATGCTCCGCCCTGCTCCGCGCTCGCCGCCCGTGGCGCACGAAGCCAGGTCACGGGCCACTTCTCCGTCGTGGCGCTCGGTCAAGATCTTCATCCCCTCGGCTTCGTCCACCTGCGGACGATGGGGCGCGGGGCGTGTTGTGCCGGGGGAGATGATTGGAGGGTGTGAGACGCCCGGCTTTGGGTTCGAAGAGAACAGGTCAAGATCAACTTGAAGAATTTGACATGTTTTTTTCTACATCATATACTGATCTACTCTGAGTAACTTGAATAATTTGACATTATTTTTGACATATACTGATCTACACTGAGTGGGTAGAAAATACGTAGAAGTGTGAGACTGCTACCGTACAGCAACTGTTGGCCAATCGCGTCGATCTTGAGTTCTCTCAAATCACCTCCAAGCACTCTTCAAACCATGGAACCATAGACCACCCACAAACCAACCACTCTCATCTCCCCACATCTAGACCGACCAAGCTCGGCACCAGATTCTCGATGTTGATGGACTCAGCCAGGAAGCCCCGGTCCATCATCAGCAGCGAGTAGATGGCCTGATGCACGTCATCATGATGCGGCGGAGAGTCGCTTCTTCGACCTGTCGCCCCTGGGGACGTCCCAAACGCCCGTCCCGGACCTCGATCGGCTCCGATCTCGGTCTTCGGCTGGTGCTCTTGGGGTCGATGGATTCCACAACCGACGGTCTTTCCCGTTCGGGTGGAGGGCGTGCGTCGGATCAAGGCATAACACAGCCGAACACAGCTGCCAAGCATCAAGCACCGCTTCAGCAAGGACGCCGAAGTGGAAGATGAACCAAATCCCACCAATCAATACCAATCACATCAATTCATCAAATCAAAACGCCATCCACCAACACTGTCCCTTGCCGTCACATGCACAATCGTTGACGTGGCCTCTTGACATTGCGCCAACCAAGAAATTGGTAGCCAAACCACCTTGGAATAGCCTATAAGATATCGACCACCACCATCCAACCACCACTGCCAACCACACAAAACCCACTGAGCAAAATGAACCGCCCACCTTAAAGGACCGACGTTCAACTACACCAACCACCCGGTCACCCACCAAAACCCAAACCAAGCCAAGCCAAACCATCCCGCCCTCCCTCTCTCCATTTCTTGCAATCCATCCACCTTGGAGGTCACCTTCACCTTCCCTCGGACCGCTCGCCTCGTGGACCCCAGCGGCTCCCAAGGCATGGCCCGACCTGGCGTTAGTCAATGCTCCAGAACTCCATGGAACCAAAAATCATGGCACTGGATGACTGCACTGAGATGTACTCAATGGCACAAAATAGCGCTGGATGCACTGAATGGTCATGTAGCTCTCAGTGAGTGAAGTTGTTGTTCCATTGAAAACTGCTGGGGAGGGCTTGACAGAACATGATAGAAGGTAGGTGTTTTCTTTCCACGAGCCTGGGCTTTGGGATGAGTTGCTTTGCAAGACACAAAATCTCTTGTGGCTAGGTCTCTGCTTTCTGCAGAACTCTTCCATATACCCAGTCGCTGTTGCCACTCACGACCCACTGATCCTGTCATATATATATATATAAACATGTGTTGTATTACATATTTCGATTACATGTATGCATGCAGCTGCATATGTATTTGCTATTCTGCATTCTAGTATGCGTGTATATATATAGATATGTCGGTGGAAAAGCTGCGTTCTACTTGGCCAGGACACATAGACTTGGTGGACCCCACGTAGGGCTGGTAGCCTCTCTCCTGTCGCTCAGCAGGGCGGCACGCCAACGGCGGCCCGGTGGGCTGTCTTCTCCAGATAGAAGACGAATCGGAACAGGAAAATATGTATACACTATATGCAATAATAATACACCCAAACACTCCAGGTGTATGATTAAAAAACATAACACATATATATAAGATATATATAATATACTACTATATCTTTGTGTCATAGTGATACAATTGCATATGATTACATATTACAATAAAAATATATATACTATTTTGCCTGTACATTTGACCATCATTGACCGCTTGTCATCCCTTTTCAACATCTTAATCGAAATTCCCTACTCCACCGGCGTGATTCACCCCCGCTCCCCGGAGCCTGGGTGTTTGGTCTGGACCTCCCCCGCCCCAAACAGGAACGGCTTCGAAGCCGAAGGCCGGGTCTTCATGAGACCGGGCGGCGCTCGGTTGAGGGCGTCAGAGCGCCATGGCGTTCGGAGTGCTCCGAACGACATCGTGATGAAACTGAGGTCGACACGGGTTGTTTTCGACCCCGAAGCAACGGCTACCAGGACGCTTTCGGGTCCCAAAACCCAACGCTGCGAGAGGTGGATCATCGGTCATCGCGGCCGAATGGGAAGACACACGGCCTTGAGACTCCGAGCCATTCCGAAGAAGTGTGTTCACCGCTGGCTTTGTATCATATACAATTAAGAGGACCCCACATGTCTTATTCTTCACCGCTGGTCTTCCCCACTGATTCTGCACTCTTCGGCCGTCTCCTCGAAGACTCGCTTCACGGCGCCCAACTCTTGGACGTCGCCGATGGGCGTGGAGGTGCCGTGGGTGTTCACGTACGTGACCTGGAGAAGGTGGGCTCGCAAAGGGTGGGGTGGCGCGCCATTTGGGTGGGTCTTGGGGGTCTCGGTTCGTGCCACAATTGAGATCTGAAAAGGGTGTGATGGCCAAGAAGGCAGACAGAGAGAGAGATTGGAGGGGGAACACACCAAAGATCCTGGTCCTATCGGTTTGGGATGGATTTGTCCATTGAGTTCCTGTTTATAGTCCATTGAGTCCTATTAGTTCCTATTTATAGTTCCTATCATTATAACCCAATGCCAATCGGTCCATTTTAGTCCATTAGTTCTTCTTCTTTGGAGGATTGGGTTAAACCTCGTTCAAGGACACCAAAACCGCCTCCGATCCTCTCCATCCCTGCCTCCTTCTCCCCTCCGATCTGGTCTGCCATGGCCAATGCCAGCTTCATGCCTTGGTCGGTACCGAGTCAGGTCGGTTGGTCGGACCGTCCGAGTCAGGCGTGGTACCCAAAAAGCGAAATGGGCCCCTGTGACACCATACATTCCAGCAGTCACAAGACGGGGTGCGATCCATGGAGGTTTGGGGTCCCATGCTTCCAACCATTCTTCTCTTCAAGAACAACGATTTTTCGTCAAAAGGACCGGCAGGTTACCTGGCTTAAGGCCTGGCCCAGGCCCATGCTCAGTTGGTATACCTCTGCAGGTGAAGCACCAAACAACTCCTAAAACGAGACCTCTGGCAAGAGCGGCGGCCGCTGAAAACACCCTTTTGCTGCATCGTCACTCGGCTGTGCAGGTGAGCAACCTGGTCACTGGAGCGGCAAGGCCGCGAAGCTGAGGATCAAATCACCGTGGTGGACCCCATGTTGGTTGATTGATCACATCATCACAAACAAATTGTTTTGAAATACATGTAACACCATCTTTAAGCATATGAAAACCATGCAAAAACCCACAAGATGGTCGGTGCACCCGGGAACTCAAACGATTCTTCCACATCTGAGTCTGTCACATCGCTGCCATCGTTCGATGCGTCGCTGCGTTCGTTCGATGCATGGCCGTCTCAGGCGGTCTCGGTCAGAGCTCTTCCAAGATCTGGGAGCGTTCCTGGCGCATTCCGAAGGTCTGGAGAATAAGAATGGAACTGCTGGACCCCGGTGCGCATGGTGGGGCATAGTGTTGAAATTTTAAGCCAGTCCAGGTCCAGGATATACCATCTCTGAACAGCAACAAAGAGCACTCTTGCAGGAAGTAGAAGGCAAGTGCTTATGTGGGGTGGGATATTTTTTAGGAAGGATTTGTTCATCTGCTACGAGCAGTTTTGTCCACATCAACGTGTTGGACATCACACGGTATTTCTCTTGCGCAGGAAGCTCATGGGAAAACACCAACACGTCTGGGCCGCCAAAAGGGGGAACAGGTTGATGCTTAATCTCCATAAGACTTAAAAGGTGAGAGGTCAGTTTCCCTCTCTGAAACTTCTGTAGGGAGATGGTGATGTTCATTGAGTTGTGTGTCTTTCCACATGTATAATCTAATTTGGGGCGCTCGCTCTCCCTCATTTTGCAGGGTTCTGTATGTGTTCAGCCAGCAAAGCGAGCTTCTTGAAGGCACCCAAATGCACCATGTTCATGTCAGTCAAGCTTCCTGGAGGAATTCCCGTGCTTTCTGCTCGTCTCCAGCTTCCAAGGCCATCTCTGCCTGTTTTCGGATGGATTGGCGTGGTTTTCTCGTCCTTTTTTGTCGCGTGGATTCTGGTGGGTCGAGGTGTTCTCTTCTTGAAAGGACCTGGAAAACCCTGCCATCGAGAGATGTTCCGACTGGGTTTCCTCGCCATGTCAAGCATGGTTTCTTTGGAATGTATCCCTATGCCTCCAGTCGTACCGAGCTCGTTTCGGTTTGGTGGGACTGGGGTGGGTGCCAGGAGGGTCCAGTCATACCGAACCTGAGGGAACGCCACGCGCGCTTCGGGGTTCCTTCTAGGTCGGTCTATGAATGGGTTGGGTTCAGAAACAGGGCGCCACCCCCCTGTTTGAGCCCGCCCAACACGTGGACAGTGGACAGTGGCCCCTTTCGAGAACTACTTTCCTTTGCAAAGAAACGCAGACCAGGCACCACACCATGTTTCCGTTTGAAAGCAGTGCCATCCAACACCTGTTGGTCGATCAAACCCATAGCCAAGCCTTCAGTTTCTGGCTTTTTAGGCCACACCAAACACGGTACGGAACGACTGGTTTGAGGAGGGCTCCAATCCATTTTCAGGTTCAATGTTCATCTTCCCGGGTGTGCCCATCATCTCCAGAACTGGAACCCAAAATGAGTGCTGGCATGTTCTCTGCTGTTCTGTTTTGTCACTTCTAGATTCTAAAGTTGGTGGTTTCCATACTAGCAAGTGGTGAATGGGGACTGACCCTTTTCCTTGGCTCCCGCTGATCACTCCTGATTGCACCATCCCGAGTTTGCAGTTCTTCTCCGACCTTGTGGTAGATTTCCTCTGCTTTCTTCTTCCGCTGCTCTGCCCTTCTCTCTTGTCCCTCAGTCATGTCCTCACCAGCAACTGACCCGGTCTCCACAAGTAAAAACACGTGGCGAAGCGTCTTCTCCGCTATTCCCAACAAAGGTCATTTTTCAGAACCCGACTGTTCGACTATCCCAGTTCGGTACCCAGTCGGACGCGTGGTACGAGCCACTTCCGCTTCGCCTATTTCGGTATACCTCGGTCACCCAGGGGACCGAACGGGGATAGTCTATATATATATTATATATATATACATAAGTATATACATATACATATGGGGGTTGTTCAAAAGTCCTTTCATTTTTTCCAGGCCTTTCGCAGGACCTTCGCGAAGCTTTCGCAAGCTTTCGCGCGTGGGGTTTTACCACTGTCGGCGAAAATGGTTTTTCGTTGGGGCTAGAGGCTTTCAAGGATAGTTGCCCTGGCACGTCTTGTCCTCTGATCACTGACACATTGATTGCAGAGGAACAGGAAGCCAGCGAACCAAGACATTTTCATGTTGGTGTGTTTTTGGTTGGGCGCAACCCTCCATGAACAAGAGAAGGCTCAGTCAGGCCAGTTTGCTCAGACTTCCAATTTGCTTTTTCCCGGGCCGGGAAAAAGCAAAATGGTTCAGACTTCGAATTTGCTTTTTCCCGGGCCGGGAAAAAAAGCAAAATGGTTCAGACTTCCAATTTGCTTTTTCCCCGCCCGGGAAAAAGCAAAATGGTTCAGACTTCGAATTTGCTTTTAGCCAACCCGGGAAAAAGCAAAATGGTTCAGACTTCCAATTTGCTTTTTCCCGGGCCGGGAAAAGACAAAATGGTTCAGACTTCCAATTTGCTTTTTCCCGGCCCGGGAAAAAGCAAAATGGCCAGACTTCCAATTTGCTTTTTCCCGGCCCGGGAAAAAGCAAAATGATTCAGACTTCCAATTTGCTTTTTCCCAGCCCGGGAAAAAGCAAAATTGCTCAGACTTCCATTTTGCTTTTTCCCGGGCCAGGAAAAAGCAAAATGGTTCAGACTTCCA